TAACCAAGTGCAAAAAACAAGACACCCAGTCTCCTTCCTATCCGTTTTTAGTATTAACAAAAGGAGCCACCAGTAAATGTAGGACTTTCTGCCTTAAAGAAAAATTGCACTAGTTGGGTCACCCCTATCTCTAAAGGGCAGAATGGACCTTCACTCAGCCTATTGGGCCCCTAACTCAAATAAGGGATCAGGTGTGGTTTGATGAATTGACAAAAAAGTACATATCAGGCGACCTACTAATTTCTTTCGACTGGAAGGAACATAAGCTCCCAAGTTTCATTCTTTTCCAAAGCTCTTATTTCTTCAACCATGGCTACTTTTCACTTGGATTCTGCAAGAGCTTTCTTCCAACTCTGAGGAAGGGATATAAAAAAATGAAACAAAAGCACAATAAGAGAAAGACAAAGAGTCATAAGATACGAATTTCGGAATAGGATGTTAAGTACAAGTCTGAACTCTTTTTGAATCACAATAGGCAAAGAACTATCATCAACATAATTACTAAAAAAATGCTCATTACCTGATAACAGGGAAGAGATCTCGAGAACTGAATTTGAAAATGATGACGGACTTGGTGACTCATGGGTGGTGATCTACTTAGCCAGTTGTCTAGTATAGCATAGCAAATCCTCCCTATCTAATCTTCTGCGTGCAGTCTGTTCCCACTGAAAAGGAGTTTCTCCCTGGATATCCCCATAGCTAGATTTTTCTCCCAAAGCCAAGCCCTGATTGGGGGGTAAGAGAAGGAATCCATATCCATCCTCCAGCAATTCTTCTTCAATACACTACTCCCCTTGAAGAGAAAGTGGAGAAGTGGAGAAATATGACTCTGCATAGAGATCAACAATGGATTGGAAGAGTTTAAATTGAAGAATAAGATTTTATTATTTGTTCTAGTATTATTATGTTACTTATGAGAATATTTGTATGACTAGAAGTCTTAGTTAGAGTTTGACTAGAAAATTATTATAAAATTTTAGTAGTATAGGAGTTTAAGAGTTTGATTATGAAACTTTTTTAAAATTTTAGTAGGAAACTTGGCCTATAAATATCGATGTAATCCTCACTAATTTTATTAGAGTGTGGTATAATAAAAATTATTTTTTTGTGAAAAATTTTGTGTTTCTTAACCGAATCCTTGCGAGGATGAGGTAAACTCTCCTCCTCTTCTTTTATTCTCTTATTTCTTCCTTTTATGTCCTATATCACCTAGGTTTAGGCTTTTGTTGCGGGAGGAGTTAGCAGGGTTATTTGGGATGTGTGGTCCTAGATAGTGCATAGGTGAAGAATTTAATGTCATAAGATATCTAGGGGATAAGTTGAATAAGGGAAAACAACCAAAAGTATGAGGGATTTTGATTCTTTTATTGGAGAAACTGAAATGAGAGATCTTCCTTTACCAAATGGTATGTTTACATGGTCCAATTGTAGGACTAGGACAGTGTGTAAAAGGTTAAATAGATTTTTGTTCTTTGTAGGTTGGGAAGATTGCTTTCCTTGGGTTAGACTAGAGGCTTTGTCTAGAGTTGTTTCAAAATATTGTCATATTGTTCTTGTTCATTGCAAGTTTAGTAGGGGTCCTTCTCTGTTTAGAATTGAGAATATGTGGGTGGAACATAAGAATTTTAGAGAGAGAATTAGAGAATGGTGTGGGGGGGGGGGAGGAAGGGGTGCAAGGATGTAGATTTATGAAGAAACTTGAGGTGATAAAACAAAGATTGCAGGTGTGGAATAATGAGGTGTTTGGGGACATTAGGGAAGCAAAAAAGATTCATTTTGGATAGGATTGATGATTTGGATAAAATTGAGGAAGGAGAGGGCATTGCCGAAGGGTTGAAAAGCGAGAGGAAAGAGCATAAGAATAAGTTTGAGGTAAGGAAGAGATTAGTTTTAAGGCAAAATTCAAGGGCCAAGTGTGTAAAAGAAGAAGATAATAATACAAAATTTTTCCATAGAGTGGCAAATGAAAACGGGGTGAGGAAGTTTATTGATAAATTGGAGCTAGATGATGGGTTGACAATTGAGGATGAGGGAGCCATTGAGAGGGAGATTATTAGGTTTTTTGTAGAGTTATATTCGGTTCATGATGGTCCTAAACCTATTTTGAGGGGTATTGTGTGGTGCCTTATTGGGGAGTTGCGATGGGCAATTTGGTGAAAAGAAATATACTTTGGTTGGGAAATGACTATTAAGGTTTTCCTTGAAACAAGACCCCTTGTGGCACGCCGTTATTAAGAGTAATAAATATGGGTTACGGCCTAATGGGTGGGATACTAATAGGGTTGAAAGGGGTTCTTTTCGGAATCCATGGAGGTTTATTTCTCAGAGGATCAAGTTCACTATTGGAGTGGAAATCAAGTGCATTTTTTGGAGGATATATGAGTTGGGGAGTCATCTTTCTCTAGTCTCTTTTCACGTTTGTATCTTGTCTCTGGCTATCATAACACTTTGGTAGTATCTATGGTCTAATAATATTCCATTTTGATTTCTTGGGATTTCGAATTTCATAGAAATCTTAATGATAGGGAATGTTCAAAATTGATAAATCTTTTCTCTATGATAGACTTGATTTCTTCCAATTTTAAGCAATCCCTCTTTCTCATGTTTCACCATATAGATTACCTATTTTTCGGTTTCTTCCCGTAACTCCCTTCAGTCCCCTTGAGCTCGGGTGGGCGTGGTACTATAGTTCATCGGCATATAAGCCTTGTAGTCATCGGAGGTGAGCGGGCTGGTAATAGCTAGGCCTAGATGTTGAGGGTAGGGGTTGTTGAGCGAAGCTATGTGATAAACAGTCAGATGGGGAAAGATTAAGGAGGATGGGGAGAGAAAAAAGCAAACAGAGATGGACAGACCAATGTTATTTAAGGCGTAAAGCAAACCTAAGCGACCAAAGCTCCTAAAGCTTAGGTGAGAAGCGAAGTGAAACGCTTCACCAAAGCGAAACAAACAATTAAAAAAAAAAAGTAAATATTTTAGTTTAATTACTTCTAAATATCTAAGTTATAATTTTATAAATACTAAATATTTAAATGCAAGCAAACTATAAACATTTACAGAAAATCAGCATTCAACATTATACAAAATCAGCACTACTATCAGCAAAATCAGCATTATCAAATATCAGAATCAACAGAAATAAGTAGTACATAATCAACAAAAATAAGCAGTACAGAAAATAAGCAAAAGCATTACAGAAAATCAGCATTAAATATTACAGAAAATTAGCAAAAGCAAGAAAAAAAAAAAACAGAATCAGCAAAATAGGCATTTACAAAAAATCAGCATCAAACAAAGAGAAGTAGAAGCAGAAGCAGAATCAGAAGAGTAGAAGATGTAGAATCAGAGGAATAGAAGATGCAAAATCAGAAGCAGAAAAAGTGAAGAAGTAGAAGAGAAGCAAAACTAGAAGAAGAAGTAGAGAAGAAGAACCAGAAGCAAAAGAGGAGAAGAAAGAGAGAGGACGCAGAATCAAAAGAAGAATCAGCAGAAGAAGAGAACAGGAGAGGAGAGAAGCAAATATACCTTTGCTGTCGCAGGAAAAGTAGCAGGAGAAGCAACAGGTACTGTATTTTCTATCGAAAAAGAAAAAGAAGAATTAAAAAAATAGAAGAGAAGATGAGGAGGAGAGAAATAGAGAGAAGCAATATCAGTGTGTGGTGTTTTTTCTGTCGAAGAAGAATACAGAGTAGCAAATGCAAAATTGTGGAGCTAGAAGAAGAGGAGAAATAGAGAAGAAGAGAAACAAAAGAGAGAGAAAGAAAAGAAAGAGACAAAACTGTTAAGTATGGGCTAGCGAGGAAGGAGCAGCAGCAGTCGTCTGACCCTTTTTGGCAAAATTAGGGTTTGGGGTGTTGTATATATTGGGATAAGGGGAGCAATTAGGTGTATGGGCATCTCATAATTTTGTTCCAATTGTTCCAATCCAACGGTCCATAATAAAAATAACCAGCGGTCCATAATTAAAAAATAAAATAACTTTAAAAACTTAACTAAGGCACTTGCTTTTCTCGCCTTTTGTTGAAGCGAGAAGTGGTCGCTTTTCTCGCTTTTTAATCGCTTCAGTCATGTTCGCTTCGCCTTGGTTTTTCAAGGTGAGACAACCTCGTCTCGCTGCACTACTTGCTTAGGCGAGCTTTTCATAACACTAGGTCAGACGATGATGGGTTAGGTGGGGAGGAGAAAAAAGAAGAAAGAAAAAAGATAAAGAAAGACAAAAAAGTGAGGATCCATGTGTTTGAATTTTGAATTATAACTAGGTAGTCAGATTAGGGTCTATCCTGTATTTTGCATTATATTTTATGTATAATATACATATATATATTGTATAAATTTAACACTTGTCCTATTATATATGCATATTATTAATAAATATATATATATATATTTATTTAATAGGGCGGGGACGGGGACGGGGACGGGGGCGGGGGCGGGGGCGGAGGGAGGGTCAACTCATCCCTGCACGGGTTAACACGAGTATCCCCGAATACTTCTACTATCCAATTTGTATAGTCCATTACCAGTCAAAATGGGACTAATTTGGATGGATTCCCGTTTTTCCTGGTCCACTGTCATCCCTAATCGCTCCAAAGAATCTAGCATCTATGTTTTGTATGGAAGGTATGAGTTTTTGGGAAAATAGTGAATGAAAAATCATTTGGCATTATGTTTTCTTTGTTACATTATGAGAAGTTTAAAAGGAAATGAATGTGAAAATTTTTGAAGATCAATGTAAAAACTTTATGGTCGTTCAGAAAGGCTTCATTTTTTGGCATCATTTTGGGCATCAATGTCCAAGGAATTCAAGATATTCCTCTCTTTTGTATTAGAAAAAGTTGGAAAGCTTCATGTGGCTTGTAATATACTTTTGTTTTATTTTCTATAAGCAGGGATATGTTTTTGTGGTGGACGGGTCCACAATTCTTGTGGTTTTCTTGTAATGTTTCCTTTGTTTTATTAATAAAAAGTTTGTTTCTTATCAAAAAAAAAAAAGTTATGTGGTGAAACTCTCCGTCGGAAAAACCTTGCAGTCCTTACATGATCTATCTAAGAAACGTATTTGCGATCATCAAATCGTATGCAATAGCAAAATCTAAGATAGAACCTCCAAACTGTTCCTACCTCTAAATTCATGTCTACCATGTGCCCCCTCATATCCCTCTCAATCTTTCCCTATGTGGCCATTAAAGTCTCCTCCTATGTATAATCCCTCTCCTACACAATATTCCATATATAATCCTCAACAAACCAAAAATAAATGTTAGTAAATGAGTATACTCACACAATTATTTTCCTGGAAAACAATTAAATTGCATCAAGGACTTTGATGCCAGCATTCTTGTCCCATTCCTCAGGTGGGGCAGCATCTGCCATTATCTTTTCCTGACCACGCCAAAGTATCTGAACCGAGAAACTAGATATTAGCCCAGACAAGTCTCAATAGAGAACAAAAAAGCATAGTTGATGCAATCCATAAGAAGCTCAAGAAGAGACAAAACACAAAGACATGATGAACTGTGAAATTTGGCTAGCAATCAAGACAAAGACTTATATAGAACCTTGCAATTGCTTTATTTGAGTCTTATTTTTAATTACCTTAAGTTAGTTTTCTAGTGTTTAGTAATTTATGTGTCTTTTTTATACTTGTAGAGTCGAGGGTATTTTTGTAAATTTCAAATTTTCTGGAATGAGTCATAGTTCGACCCATGGATCATCTTTTGGTTCAAATTCTAGTGTTAGATGTTCAAGAATTTAGAGTCCTAGTTCTAATTTATATTAGTTTTTGGAGTTTTGGAGCTTTAGGAAATACTTAGAACTCTATATAGTCAATGATTTTTTAACAATGAGATAGAGAGAGATATTTTCAGAAATTTCAACAATTAAATGCTTTTTGAATTGTGTGATACAATTCTAACCCTAGGTGTGATCCCTAAGGAACCCCATATTCTCTATTCTTCTACGTTCTTCTATTAATGTTCTAAACCCCATAATCAGATCTGGAATTTTATTCTTTATATCCTTAAAAGTGGTCTACATAACCCTACCCTTTTACCAAACAATCGTCAAACCAGAACCCATAAAGTAGCACATCCTACCCCAAAGTACTGTTCAGGAGTACTATTCATAGCATTGAACAGTGCTTAATTTTCGGGTCCACTGCTGTCCTACATCAATAGCACAGGTTATCTCTTACCTTATCAATGACACCAAATTCCTTAGCTCTCGTAGAATCCATGTAAAATGGTCTTTTCATCACGTCAGCAACAGTCTCTACTGACTGGCAAAATAGCAATTCATATGAAATTAGTGCTCATATAACTCTCTTGTTTCATAAACAAAATCAAGAAAAATACAACTGAAGTGTCATACTTACATTTTCTGTATGCTTAGCAATAAGTTCGACAAGGGTATCCCTGTTAATTATTATCTGTAGCAGTAAATATGTCAGTAAATCTTTAGTCTAATAAATTCCAGTTAACAATTGTCAAGCTTGCTGATACAGAAACCAAAACCAGACCCCCCCCCCCCCTTTTCTCTTCTTCCTCCCCAAAAAAAAGGGGGAATGAGCTCCCCATGCCAAGCCAAAAAAAGGAAAAACTTATGAATGTGCAATGTAGCAAATTTGTTACAGAGAAGCACGAAAAGAAATATTTATAACAGTATAGATTTCCTTTTACAACTGACCAAATGAACACTGAAATCAAACCACAATTTCAAATCAGCGAGTTAAAACTCGTGTCATAATGCTATTGATCTTTGCCATAAGGCCAATAGAAATGCCAAGAAAATTTTACGAGTTTACCACACCATACCCAAAAGTTCTCCTTTAATACAAATTGAAATGCTAGAGAGCGACCAAATGAGTTCCAACTAACCTCCTTTGCACGAATAAGAACATCACTGGCCGGCATTAAACCAGATGATGGAACTCGGGGCTGTTGAATCATGGCTGGAATACAACTTGTGTGAGCATTGTAAACTTCAAGCAATACCTTCTGCAGCAAAGTAAACCATACCTTTGGCATGTGGCATCATAAACCTCTTGCCCTTAGTTCCTGCAGCAAGTAAGAGACATGCCTGACCTATTGCAGCTCCAACAGCAACCGTATGTATCTGCATGTGAGATTTATAAAATAGGGAGTGAGACAGACAAAAAAAAGCTAATATTGAAATCAAATGTCTTCTACTGAAATCATATCATGTATATGCTTATGAAACTAGTAAACTAGGTAGTGAGACTCAGAAGAAAAAGAAAATATAGAAATCCAATGTTTCCTACATGAAATAATATCATCAGACACCAGTGATGAAATGACCATTTATTCAAGTAAAGTAGCTAAATCCTGAAACTCTTTGTAGATGAAGCAAAAATCTTCTTCTTTAGGGATAGAGATGTCAAGCCCGTGTTTGGTCCTAGGAATCGAAGGAGCTTATTGGGTTGGGCATAATATGAACCAGAGATTTCTTATTGGGGCAATCTCTAAACTTTTGTCTGACGTATGGATGTACGAACTAAAAAACTGAATCATATTAATGTCTGCTAAAATTCATGGTACAAAAAAACAACTAAAATGGGCTGACAGACCCACTGAACAAGGAGGTCGAGCCAATCCAAGAAAAGTAGATGAAGTTTGAGCCTAGAGATTGACATTAATGTGTGTTACACGCAAGCCCATCTTCATGAAAGGTTGGAAAGAGAGTCAGGGACAATGAAAACAAGGGAAAAGGAAACCTCAACAGCTCTTGAACCAACTGGACAGCTTATCTGGCTGCCATCACAGCCAAAACCAGATCACTACTAACTCTGCCAGAAAACAAATGCACCTCCACAGCCCAGCATTGCCATTACCCCAGGAAGCACGGATACTCCACCGAAGGTCGCTGTGGTGGTGTCGAACACTTGTCCGACACGGATACGCGTTGGACACGGACGGACACGTGTCTGACACTTCCACAAGTGTCCCGAACAATGATCAAGCCAGTTTTGTAGATGGATACGGCTCGGATACGGGATGACACGGGAGGGATATGGCTACAAATCGAAACCCAAAAAAAAAAAGAGAGGGGTAGAAGACATTACAGACCTGAGATCAGCCACAAATGTCATCTTCCTCTACTTATACAACTCACCACAAACCTGAGATCAAACGAGGGTACTTTGGGATTCTTCTTCCTGATGCTTCTGGAGGCTTGATGCCATCAAATCGCTCATAGATCAGCTTGGTGTGATCGGTTCTCTCTCTCTGTGCGATTGGTGTGATCGGCTTGCTCTAGATGCTCGCAGCATCGTTTTCTCTCACTCTCTGTGCAATTCATGTGATCGTTTTGCCCTAGAGTACTTGCAACATCATTCTCTCTCTCTCTCTCTCTCTCTCTCTTCGTTATGCTGGTTTGGTTTGGTGTGCTGTGGTGTTCCCGAACAATTAGACTTCTTATTAGTCTAGCCTACAGCCCATTACGTTTAGCTCTCCCCAATTCACTGCTCATAACATTTAGCCCACTTATTAAATTTAATATTAACTCATTTGTCTAGTTATAAAATATTAATTAATTCCACAATTTTATTATTAATTTTATTTTATATAAAAAAATATTATATTATTTTAATTAGCCGTACCCGTGTCCTATTTTTAAAATTTTGTCATATCCCGTATTCGTATCGTATCGGATACGACACTCATGTCCGTATCCATGATTCCTAACCATTACCCATTAAGATTCTGCCATGTATTTGGCACTCTGCATCAATATCACCTCCAAAATTGTTCACCGGTTGCACTACAACAAGTTGCTATCTTCTCACCATATTCACTGCATCAACCACCACTGTCACTCCACAACCACTATCACTATTGCCAACAGTTATCAGCACCATGAGACTACGGCTTTGCCTAGTCTTTCATCTTGTCACCAATAACCACAATCACACGTTGCATTCTGTCTGCTCCTACCAAACAGGCATTTTCACCTGTCCCCCCCTCCCAAAAAAAAACCAAAAAAAAAAAAAAAGCCCAGCACACACACACTCTAACACAGCAGTCATCTTATCAATGTCCTTAGGGTCCCAATAAAGATACTACATGTTAGTATGAAGAAAAAGACTGCTAATTCATAGAATAACATGTGCAGGTGTGCAAAATCAGTTTAATTGAGAACTTCAACTTCTGCTTTTCCCTGAGTATGAAGTCATGATTCAAAGATCAATCCTTGATTGGCTACAAACTAATTTTTTATCGAACACAGTTTTCAACCAAACCAAGATGTCTATTTGTACACTTAACCAACTGTAAGACACACGTCTAATGGTGGGAACATTTTTCCTTCACGTTGACATGTGCAAAATTTTAAGGAGCCAACACACTATGAGCTGAACCACAGGCAAAACCTCCTCATGGGAACATAATTAGTATGCAAACATTAGAGACCAATGTACAGAAGACCTGACCTCATTCTTTAATTGCATCATAGCATCATAAATTGCAAAACCTTCTGTCTCCATCCCAACCTGTATATTGAGCATTTTAAATCAATCAAATAACACAAGCAAAATAACCATAAAAAGGGAAATTGAGATCAAAAAATCAACACATAACAAAAAAACAAAACTATGTCAAAGAAAGGAACATAGGTAAGCACTGTAAGAGTCTGTGGGTGCCCATGAGAGGCAAAAACATTGCTTCAGCTGGTTTTTGCTTTTCAAATGCAAAATATTGTTAACAGCTGAAACACAAAAAATTACCACCGAGATGGTTTGGAAACAACCACTACCAATTACCTAGAGTGGACCTCCCTGGGGCTCAGGAATACGTTCAGAAAAAATTTCCAAAATGACAAGAGGAAGGGAGAAAACGAATAAAAAGAAGACACAAAAAGGAGGAAGACATAACAATATCAAACCAAATGAACAGGGAGCTAGGAGGACAGGGTGCCACTGAAACTTCACTAACTATGTCATCCAGCCTCATACAGCAGCTTGAGGTTGGCTTGTTTGGTTCATGCAAAAGCCTGCAGACCCTCTTTTAAGAAGACTAGTCCAAACCATTCACAAGATTATCAAAGCAACTCACAAAGCATCTACAGTAAACAGCCTCAAACAGATACTGCACATGTAGTTTTAACATAATTTTAATTAACAGTTGTACATGTAAAAATTAGTCCACCAGTTGAAAAGCCGAAGTTGATGGCACATATTTATAATCAAAATTCCTAAATGATCAGTTTTACCAATACAACATCCGATATGGAACTAAAAAATAATATAGAGAACAGACTTGCAGGGCTTTTAGCTTAGTTTAAGTAAAAATTTTAGCTTCAGAAGATCTTACCAATTTAAAAAAAAATTGGGAACTGAATCAGGTTACAGGTCTTGTTTTAATGGATCGAGTCTGCTGGACATGAGTTTTTATGTGACCAAGTAGTATAGTCAACTAGAACTGTCGCTTTCTTGTAGTCAAACAAAGGGGCCAAGTTTAATTGGCCATCAAGTCTGAATTAGAAGAAGTCAGTGGAAGATTTCCTGAAAAATTCAGATTAGTGTGTTCCTTTTATATCTCTTAAACTTGGGCACCCTAGGTGATGGAGATCGTGTAAGAATTGGATAGATATTATAGATTAATTATGATAATTATTTAGATATTTTTAATATTTAGCTTTTAAGTAATTTCTTTTAACTTTTAAGGGTTTAATTGTCATTTTGATTATTTATTTATTTTAGAGTTTGTGATCTCCTTTTATATATAGGATTTGTGAATTCCTTATATATATAGGGGATACATATTTGTTGAGAGACTAGACTTTGATTATTGATTATTGATATTGAATCTTCTTCCTAAAATTCTCTCCCTATTCTCATCCCCTTCTTCTTCTTCTTTTCTCATCTCTTTTTTCTTCCCTTTTTATCCCTAATTTTTCCCTAATACGATTTACATCAATTTGGTATTAGAACCCAACTTCGATTCAAAAAAAAAAAAATTTTTAAAAAAAAAACGAAGTTGTTCATCGCACTGTTCATCTGTGTACTGTTCATCAAAAAAATACTGTTTATACAAAAATGTTGTTCATCAATAAAAGATAAAAAAAGGAGGAAACAAAATTTTTTTATCATATTTTGTCGCTGTAATAGTAGCCTAGTGGGTTAAGTTTTGAACCAAAGTTCCCAGCAGATTCAACAAATTACAGAAACATCTCCATAAGTCCCAAAAATTGCAGACACATCTCAAAAGATCTTCAAAAATTACAGAAACACCCCAGAAAATTCCACAAGTTGCAGAATCACTACTAGAAAATTTCAGAAATTATAGAATCACAGTTAGAAGTTTCAAAAATTGCAGAATCTTCCCCCCAGAAGTTCCAGAATTACAAAAAACATTCCCAACAGATCCATAAAATTGCAGAATCATTCCCAAAAAGTTTCAGAATTTCCTCTTGATTATGGTATACATACTCCTATAAAAATTTGAAACTGATATTTTTATTCATTGAAAAATTAAAAAAATTTGCAAAGAATCCAAATTATTTGTCAATTACATTCTTGAACTTGTTTTTACGTCATTCCCTTGTTCCAAGAGTCACTCATGAGTTTCTCTAATACGTATGTTTCAAGAATCTCTCCTCAATGTCATCATCATAAGAAGTCAAAGAATGTTTATATGGAGTCAACCCATATGATCAAATGAATCAAAGATCCTTCTACATTTTGTGGTACTCCGGATCCCAATCAATTCTTGAATTGGTTAGCTAATTTAGAAGAATATTTTGATTGACATGGCATGTTGGATTCTCATTGCGTCCGTTTTGCTAAATTGATGTTGGAGGGTTCCGCCAAGAAGTATTGGCAAACAATCCAAAGAAACTTAGACCCCTCAGGAGAATCACCTATCACTTGGGTTGAAATGAGATATAAATTGAAAGAGAAGTATTTGCCTACTTCCTATATAGATCAAGTTTATGACCAATGGCTCAATCTTAGACAACATTCTTCTAGTGTCTCTGATTACTTTGCCCAGTTTGATTATCTCATGTACTTGTGTGACATTGTTGAAGAACTTTGAATAATTGATCAGTTTATTTTTGGGTTGAGACAAAAAATTAGTAGGGAGGTTAAACAATACACTTTTAATACGTTAGTTGCAACCTATCAATATACTATAAAGGTTGAGAGATTTCATAAGAAATCCAACTATACCTTGATGAGTTCTTAATCACAGCCTGCTGATAGGACATCTTTCAATTTTAATTCCATCACATATGAGTATCATGATTACTTAAACAATGTTCATGTTGTTTCTGCATACTTTCCTAATTCGAATGTGGCAAAGGATTTAAATATTTTAGTGTCAGATAAAGAGAAAAATGTTACTCATATGGACTTCCAACTCCTTCATTTAGTTTCATCATATCAGAGTCTTCTTCCTTTGCACCCACAAGAGTCCATTTTGAAAGAAAGTGTGTGTGAGTCTTTGTTTGTGCCAATTCTTGAACCATCATTGATCTTGAAAATTATAGAAAAGTCTGTTGAGTCTACACCTATGCAAGATATTAAACCAATCGAGTCATTTATTACAGAATCTAATAGTGACTATTCTATGTCTACTTGTCCAAGTCATCATGACTTTGTTACAGATTCTTCCCAATCTGAGATTGTTAACATTGTTCTGGATTTTGCCTCACTTAAGAGTGTTAACTTTGATTCTTTGCCTACTATCAAGTGTTCAATTGAGTCTGTACTTTCTTATTTTCAGCACCAGGGTATTATAGTTACTCCTTTGTCACTGATGTCTTGTACCATTGAATGCCTATTGTTCAAATCTAATGGAAATTATTTTGCTATTCTTGAGTTTGGATCTAATGCTTATTTGCTTAATTTTTCATTGAATGTTAGTATTAGTCCAGATTTTTATTGGGAGGACATGTTGCTTAATCGAGGTACTCCAGAGCCTCCTATTTTATTCGCAGGTATTCATACAGATGGAGATTCTTGCATTTATCCTGGTCGATGGAAAGAAGTCGATGGTTCTTTCATTCTAGATGAGGCATTATGTCATCTTCATCTTACTCTATTTAAGTACTTCTACTTTAAAGACTCTCTGGAGGAGAGGTTTTTTCAACCGGGGGAGAATGATGGGAATCGTATAGGAATTAGATAGATATTATAGATTAATTATGATAGTTATTTAGATACTTTTAATATTTAACTTTTAAGTAATTTCTTTTAACTTTTAAGAGTTTAGTTGTCATTTTGATTATTTATTTATTTTAGGGTTTGTGATCTCCTTATATATATAGGATTTGTGAATTCCTTATATATATAGGGGATACATATTTGTTGAGAGACTAGACTTTGATTATTGATTATTGATATTGAATCTTCTTCCTAAAATTCTCTCTCTATTCTCATTCCCTTCTTCTTCTTCTTTTCTCATTCCTTTCTTCTTCCCTTCTCATCCCTAATTCTTCTATAATACGATTTACATCACTAGGTGCAATGGAGCCTTTCTTTTGCTGGACATTTCTCAAATTACAGGTCAGAAACATAATGCATAAGCTTTGGCCTCCAAGTTGCATCAACAAAAAACAATGGCTTATGTTCAAAAGAGGATATCACCCTCTGTCTCCCCCTCTGTGTGTGTGTTGTGTGTTGTGCGTGTGTGTGTGTGTGTGCGCTTCAAATACATTATAATAACCACATTAGGTTAAGCTCTTCCGCCAGTTAGACACATTGTCCCACCAAATGAAAAGTCAGTCATTTCAATTTTCTTCAAATAAGTTAATTTGTAGCCTTGTAATGCTATCAAGCTAAAAGTTAAAACTTAAGATGAATGGAAGACAATGGAAAGATTATAAAGAAGATCATCAACCCAAATAAAAGTAACCCCACTAGTGAAGAATTAACAATGAGGGGAAAAAAAAGAATGATAAAAAACCTTTAATTCGATCCTAGACACGAACAACAATGGGAAAGATCCTTACAACATTTTCCTTCTCATTGATCGATTTTACTGGCACAAAGCTACAGAAAATTCTGTTACTATGATAACTACAAACAACAAGTGTGCTATTCATGCATTGGTCTTCACCAAATTGCCTCATAATTAAATTTTTGGATTACAACATTGTGTTATGCAACCACCATGAGGTAATATAATCTATGAAAAACATGCATACACGTGCAAGTTCTTAAATGAGAATTGAAATGGTTGTCTCACAAGCAACTTCCCGAACTCCAAATGAGGATAGAAGATGGTGTGCTGAAGCACATTAAATCTGTGGTTTTATGCTGACATTCAAGAGTGTTTCCCAGCAAACAAATCATGGCGATTATAGCACTTCTTACCCAAAAAAGTACAATGAGTAATCACACAAAATAATGTTTGTCCAGCATAAAATAGAATTAAGGAAAAAGTTTAAATCTTTGTCACTCTTAACCTATGAATTCACATTCATTTTCTCAATATTATTATACATTCAACAGTCTGAGAAGAGTGATGCAAGATAAGAAAAGGAAAT